AAAAAAAAAAAAAAAAAAAAATGGTTTATAATTCCAATGTTTTCATCACTTGGTTTTCTATGTTTTGTTTGATTTGGTACTCTGCAAATTCAATAAAGGACACTGATAATCACCAAATTTGCACATCTAATTATGACTATTCTGATGCTCTAAGCAAAGGAATTTTGTTCTTCGAGGGCCAACGTTCAGGAGAGTTGCCTGCAAACCAAAGAGTCGAGTGGAGGGCAAATTCAGCACTCTCAGATGGCAAAACCGAAAATGTACGGTCATACATATATATAGGGCCACATATTTGATTTTTTTTTTTTTAATTGACTTTCATTATTTATTTTAGTTCAACATGCTTCAATGGTCCCATAACGAAATTTTGTCCCTGACTATAGGATTATTATTAGAGCCGAATCAAGCTAAGTCAAGCATTTGGTGTTCGAACTCGTGCTAGTTTAATAAACGCTATCAGCTCATGTAATAAGCTTATGAAAGTTCGGTTCAACTTGTTTGACAAATTCAAAATCATAAATGAATTGTTCGTGAATATGATTTGTGAGTTTGCAAACTATTAAATTTATAGAATCGGAAGAAGAGGGACCGGTTCGACATAGGTGAAGCACGACATAAGAGGGAGGGTGCGGTCCCACATAGGTAAAACGCAACATAAATAAGAGGGCGAGCCTAGGTGCACTATAATGAGGTTCCATATCAATACTAATTGGTGATGGAAGGAGTAACTCACTAGACTTATAAACAGGGGCGGACGCAGAGATTTAAAAGTAGGGGGGCACAATATAATTCATAAGAGAATAAAAAAAATGACAAACATCACATTACAACAATATAATTCATAAAAGAAACGAAAAAGAACGACAAACGCCACATTACAGTTGTTCTCTACGTGTTTTTATATTCTGATAGCGTTTAATAATTAATCATTCTCTGTTGTGTCTGTGAGAGAGTAGAAGAAAGAATGCAATTTGAGGTGAGTGAGCAGTGAGTACGAAATGTTGCTGCAAAGAAATTTGCTTGAACTTTGTTGTAGTGGGAGCACAATAAACTAACATGATTAATATATATACATAAATATGGTATATATCTATGTACTAGAGATTCGAACATTACAGGGGCACTTGCCCCTGCTGGCCCCCCCTTGGGTCCGCCATTGCTTATAAACTAGGCTCATCATTTACCAAACACGAACATGCTCGACTCCACTATTGGTTTGAACCTATAAATATTTAAGTTTTTTTCGTGAACGAGCTCTACATAACTTGTTTAATAAGTAAGTTCGATAAATTGTTTGAGCTTGAATCGTTGAGTTGATCTCGAGCTTTCACGAATTGAACTAATTAGTTGTTTCCGAAACACTTATGTTGGTGTGACTTTGGGTCGTATCACCAAAAGTTATACTTGATTTCAACAATAAATCACCGTATTTATGTACTCTTCTTGGTCTTAAAGTAACGGTTTAATTTTATATCTTTGTTTTTCTATTATTATTTTCATAATCATACATCATTAGAGATGGTACATGATATATAAATATAAAATATACATATCACCAACCCGAGTTTGGGTAAAAATTAGTTCAGCAACACTTTTAAGAATCTTGAGTGTGTGGGTTTTTAACTTTTTTGGTGTCCTACTAAATTTTAGGTCAATTTGAGTGGAGGCTACTATGATGCAGGCGATAATGTGAAGTTTGTGTGGCCCATGGCGTTTTCAGTAGGCTTATTGAGTTGGGCTGCTGTTGAATACGAAAACGACTTACAGTCGGCCCAACAGCTTAGCAGCCTCCAAACAGCGATAAGATGGGGAACAGATTTCTTACTAAAAGCCCACACTTCTTCTACCGCAGTCTACACTCAGGTGATGATTATTAAATGAATCGCAAGGCTTAAAAATATGAATTTTTATGTAGTTTTTAAAATTTTTATAAACAATTTGAGGATGAGCTTAGGGGTGGGATTTTATACCCGAGAACCGGAGAACCGTACCGGACCGAACCGAAAATAACCGGTTCGGTCCGATTATTAAAAAAAAAAAAAACTATTTTTTCGGTTCGGTTA